CTCTGGAAATTTCATGGACAAGGCCACTCTACTTGAAGGGCTACAATATGGAACCCATCAGAGAATGTCAGGAAAGGGAACAGGTTATGTGAGGTCGGGCCATGAAGTCAACAAATATGTGGGTGAATCAGGTCTGGAAGTAGAATTTGCAGGTCAAAATATGGGTTCACCCATGTGGAACAGCCATATCTGTTGGTATGTGCAAGTACTGTGGCTGGGAATAGGCCTGGTTGGGGACTAAGCAGACACCTTGGCTGGGCAGGAATTCCCATTGGTGAATGCGAGTTGCAGGGAATCCGTGCATTGTCCTGGGCTGAGCATTGCTTCAGTCTCCCTCAGCATGGATTAGACCTAAGCACCCACTAGTACTCATGCGAGTCAGGGTAGGTATAGAATGGGCTAGACTAGGTCTTGGATCCTGCTGAACCATGTGAGAATTGTGTCTGGGTATGGCCCAGGTGTGGATGGGTTGCAACACCCAACAGTAAGAACCAGAAAGGGTATAGGCCAATTGGGCAAGGACACCATCCCTGCCAGGACAACAAGTGGACAAACCCAACCTGGGCCAGGGACCCACCAGTATGTTCACGATCTACCACTGGGAAGAGACCAGATAGAGGAGTCTGGTAAACTCTTTGTCAAGTTGCAATACCCACAGGTAAGTGCAAGAACTAAGCCAAGGGGCAGCCCAACCCAGACCAAGTTACAGTACCTGCCAGCATACATGGTGGTCAGGTCAGGGAGTAGGCCAGGTTGGGCCAGTACATAACATTCAATGGCAGATCTGAGATCCAGGATGGGGTGCAGTAGGGCCAAGTCGAGCCCAAGTCAGGCAGCATCACCAGCCAGTTCACATTTGCACCAGGACTGGGGACTGACTCTGTAGCTTAAGTACCCACTGGTGGATGCCAAAGAGGGATGAGCCATGTCAGTGTGGAGGTGGTAGGTATCAGGTCTGTGAGCACCACAAGTGGGAGGCCCAGAGGGCCCTGGTTGTCCTAGTCCAGGTCACCAAGCTCGCCTGTGTGGTAGAGACTGGGTCCTTGAGTCTCACGGATGGTGTATCTGGTGGGTCCTGGGTCTTTGGGCCCGCCTGCATGATGGGTGCTAGACCCATGAGCCTCAAGGGTGGAGGGCCCAGTTTGGCCTTGAGTCTCCTGGCCCAGGTCCTAGGGCACACCTACACAGTGCATGGTGGGTCCGTAAGCCTCAGGGGTGGGGGCGGGTCAAGAGGGGCCTGGGTCTCCTCGCCCAGGTCCTTGGGCCCACCTGTGCAGTGGGTGCTGGATCCATGAGTCTCGGGGGGGGGGGGCGTAGAGGGGCCTGGGTCCTCTGTTCCAGGTCACTGAGCCCGCCTATGTGGTTGGAGCCTGGTTTGTGAGCCCTGGGGGTGAGGGGTCCAGTGGGTCCTGGGGTTGCATGGCTTAGGGCTTTGGTCCTGGGGGGTGCTGAACTTGTGAGTCCCAGGGGTGGGGCCAGGGTCTCCTGGCCAGGTCACCAGGCCAACTGAGTGGTAGGGACTAGTGGGGGTGGGGGGCTCCGGCGAGTTCCGGGTGGCATGGCCTGGCATGGAGGTGGTCACTGGATCCATGAGCTCCTCCTGGAGGGTGGGGGGTTTGGCATGGCCCTGGTTGCCTGGTTCAGGTCCATGAGCCCACCTAGAAGAACTGGTCCTCCTTAGTGTAGAGGATAGAGTGCTGGACAGCAGACCATAATGCACACGAAGGTCATGATAACACATTGGGGCCTACAGAGGACATCTGGTACCATAGCAGAGAATGGAGAACAGAACGTAGGGACAACTATCCCAGTCGAACGATGACAGCAAATATCTGGGAGATTAGAGACTATAAGGTTGGAGGCGTCAACCAATGGACATTTGAAGGGATTCCTCAATCATAGATCAGCAAGACGACAACATTTCGCAACTATCACATCCACCACCTGGGCAGAACTTTCAGAAGATGTGCCATTGTGACTCTGGGTTGATACTGGGTGACCCTTCTCCATCCTTGAGTACTGGGATGGTTAAGAGGCTGGGTATGGCTTATTCCCCCCCCTCCCCCCCCATAAATGGGACAAAGAAACAGAAAGCTTGGAAACAATGATCACATCCACTGTTCCCTAACCCTAGATCTTTCCCAGCCTGATCAACTATGTAAATATCTAAAATAAAGATAAATCAAAAAAAAAATAAAAACTATTTCAGTCAATGATATTACACTTACATAATATATTTATCACTGCTTTTTTCCTATAAAAGCATGTTGTAATATTCTTTTACCTTAAGGTAAATTACTTAAGTATAACTGCTTCATAAAAATAAAGGAATCATTAAAATGTGTTTTCTCTTAACAGCTTTCCCTTCAACTACATGTAATGGGATAATACAACAAGAGATAAAAGAAAGCTTACAGAAAAATTATTCAAAGAAACAACAGATAGGGTCCCCACTATCTGGGATAAAAAATCGTATCTTTCACTCTAATTTTTTTGAAGAATTATTTATTTCTTTGGAAAGGCAGATCTACAGAGAGAGGAGAGACAGAGACAAAGATTTTCTGTCCACTGTTTCACCCCCCACAAATGGTTGTTACAGTCAGAGCAGAACCAAGACGACCTGAAGCCAGGAGCCAGGAGCTTTTTCCTGGTTTCCCACATGGTTGCGGGATCCCAAGGCTTTGGGCCGTCCTCTACTGCTTTCTCAGGCCACAAAAAGGGAGCTGGATGGGAACTGGAGCAGCTGGGACACAAACTGGCACCCATATGAGATCCAGGCGGGTGCAAGGTGAGGATTTAGCCACTGGGCTATCATTCCAGGTCCCATGTCTTTGGCTCTCACATGATGTCTCAACTTGATTCTATCTGTACCACACAAGATCCAAAGGATGCTTTAAAAATACAGATCACATCATATCTTCTAGGTTCCCAATTCACTAAATGTAATGGCCAACCAGATACAACATTACTCCACCTTGTTTTTGAGTTCCTTGAACACACCAACCTGTTGCTGCTCTTCTCTTTGTCCATAACACTTTTTCCAATAATCACAAAGCTTAGTTCCTCTTCACTTCCCCGTCTCTCCCCATTATCACTAGTGAGGCATTCCCTGGGATCTTTCAGAAACAGGAACTTACCTGTCTCTTTCACTAACCCCCCCTTGTCATATTTTAATTCTCTTTACAACATGTCTGTTGGGATATTCTGTATATTTGGTCTTCGTGTTTTACCCCACCAAGAATTCAAGCTTCCTCATGGCAGGGTTTCATCTGTTCTGTTAACTAGAATTTCCAACAGCTACAACAACGCCTGGCACTAGGCAGGTGCTCAATGGCATTGCTGAACAGATGCAGAATCCTTTGACACTCCCTCCATTTCATCTTTCAAACATTCTCTTTTCTAATCTTTTCATGGCTCCTGTTTCTCAGCCTCTGAGATGATGACTTCCTCCTGGCTGCTTTAGAAAGCCTGGTTCTCTGCAGAGTAACATACAAGTTAATAAAGTTGTCTTGTTGAAGAAAGAGGGCATCTTCCTACTTTCCAAATAGGAACTGAGGGGTTCAGAGGGCTCTGCTTCCGATCAACTTCCTGCTAGCACTTCTGGGAAGGCAGCCCAGGCTCTTGGCCTCTGCCACCCATGTGGGAGACTCAGGAGGAGTCCTTGGCTCCTGGCTTCGCCCTGCACCAGCCCTGGACATGATGGCTACTCCAGGTTTGGGGAGTGAACCAGCAGATGTAAGCTCATTCTCTCTACCTTTCAAATAAATTAATAATTCTTAAAAAAAAAAAAAAACAAAAACAAAGGTGCCACAGGGCACTGAAGGGCAGGCCTTTGGTCTAGGAGTGAAGCTGTTGGTGAGGACTGCCCACCCACATTCTAAGTCCCAACTCTGCACTCCAGCTTCTTGCCAACAGATTCTGGCAGGTACCAGTGATGGCTCAAGTAATTCAGTTCCTAGCTTCCTTGCCAAATGAACAACAAAAAATTTAAAAGGACGGGCATACTTAGGCATAACAGGAACAGAAGTTATATAAAAGGCTGTAGTTTATCTAAACAATGTTAAACATGCAACTGGAGACTTTTGAAAAGGTGGAGATACAGACAAAAGCTGAGCGCCTTCTCCACATGGGCAGTATCTTGAGCACACTCACTGTTAGAGCCAATGGAGTTCACACCTTCCACGAAGTGGGTACTGTGACAGCACCAGTTTTACAGACAGGGAACCCTCGGTGACTGGGGCTGCTGCATGCAATACCTCGACGGGGACACACTGCACTCTATTTTCCCCTCAAGAGACACAGCTTGCAGAACATGCCATCTCGTTTGCACCCTTTCCATACACAGAGATGCATGCGACCCAGGATTGGAAAGGCCAGCAGCGGCTTTAATTTCCTTCCTCTGAAGGTCTGGAGCTTTGAGCTGTGCTGCGTTCACAGACATGCCAGTTGCTGCCGAGAAAAGGTTTGAAAACTCCAACTTGGGAGGCTCCAGGTCTGGTGTCTGCGCCGATGACCAGTTCCGGTACTCCTTTGGTCTCAGTGTTTGTACTTGGGAACTCTAACCCCTGAAGCCACCAGTTGGGTCTTGGGTCACCAAACAACCCGTGGTTTGTCCGACATCTCCCTAGGAAGCAGCCGGCAGATTGTCAACAAGCCCGGCCGTCCCTCCCAGGGCTGGACGGTCCAGGCCCGAGGCGGCTCCTCCGCCCGCTGGCACCCACCTGCCAGGGGCACCCATCGCCGTCCTCCAGCCCCGGCGGCCATCCTCACCTGGTGCCCGGCACCCACGGCCAGCCGGGCCCTCTCCGCCCCAGCACTCACCTCCCCTCTGCTCCTTCCCCCGGGGTCTCCGCCGCAGGCCCCGCGGCGCCGTCCACACCGACCCCAGAAGAGCGACGGCTTCGCCTCCGCGGTCGGGGCTGCTTCTGCGCCGCCGGCTCAGGCTCCATGGCGTGGACAGGGGGTGGGGCGGTGGCCGGGTGCCCGGGAGACCGGCACGGATGGGCACGGCGCCCACCGGCGTCCGCCAAGCAGAAAGTATCCGCCAGCCCAAAGCCGCTGACACCGTCATCCGGGGATTTGAAAATGGCGGCTGCGCAGTGATCAGCCAATCAGCGAGCAGGCTGCGGTTGCTAGGAGATAAGAGTCCCGCCCCTCCCACTCTCTGGGTTCTTCACAGACTCATGGAGGAGGGAAGGAGAGCAAGAAATGGGATTTAGAAAAGCTTGAGTTTCTTTCTGACTCCAAACCTGAATCTCCAAGGCCCGTTGCCTCTATAGCCTTTCTCCCATTTATTATGACTTTCACCAAAGGGAAAGAGCCTTTTAGGTTGCCGGATCTTTAGCCTATGGGGAGAAGTGATTATATAAAGAATTGCCGGGGCCCAGTGGCGTGGCCTAGCAGCTGAAGTCCTCACCTTGAACGCGCCAGGATCCCATATGGGCGCTGGTTTCCATCCCAGCAGCTCCACTTCCCATCCAGCTCCCTGCTTGTGGCCTGGGAAACCAGTGAGTACCACCCAAAGCTTTGGGACCCTGCACCCATGTAGGAGACCCGGAAGAGGTTCCTGGTTCCCGGCTTCGGATCGGCGCAGTACCGGCTGTTGCGGTCACTTTGGGAGTGAATCATCAGATGGATGATCTTCCTCTCTGTCTCTCCTCCTCTCTGTATATCTGACTTTGTAATAAAAATAACTAAATCTTAAAAAAAAAAAAAAAAGAATTGCCTTGGGCCCAGCACAATGGCAACATTGGCTAATACTCTCCCTTCAAACTCTGGGATGTAATAGCCAGTTTCCTGTTTTTTGGCTAGGGAAAGCAGCGGAGGAAGGTACAGTTGGAGAGTTAGCTGGTTGAGCTGCCATACTGCCCCCTGAAATTGAAAAATAATCGAACAAACAAACAAACAAAAAAACACCTATATTTAGTATACCTATAATTAAGTTACAAAATCATTTACTAGATGGTGATATTAAATGTTAATTGCTTCTGCCAAGTGAAGACATTTTAATTCAGTAATTATGTGGGCTGTCATACCAGGCTAATTCAGATTCTCGTTTAACTACACTAGATTTGAATAACCTCTCTACCACTTCAGTTCTTCATCTGTAAACCATGTACAGAGATGGCAATGATAACAATTGTTAATATGCATTCAGAAGGTTTATTGACAGGGCCAAACTATGCTAGCTTAGCTGTCATTCTCTTTATTAAATTTCATTTTGCAACCAGTGGAGAGTGAAAGTTTGGTGGATATTCATAAACTCATTCATAAAATGAAGGTGGTGGAGTTCCATGCCACTGGCAAAGCCACAGCTCCCAGACACGACCATGGACAGTGATATGAAGTGGACACAACTGGACAGCCTTGGCAGCACAGGCAGGGGGAGACACAGGCAGGAGCTGATGGGAGGGAGACAGACAGGTGCAGTTCAGTCATTTCTCCACCATCATCCAAGATTGAAAGCTCACTGGCTGGCTCTCTGAAATTCCTAGGGGAAGCTATTGATCACAGCTGGGAGGTTGAATTTTCAGGGTGTACTAAGAAAGAAACTGAGTCAGGATTCCTTCTGTTTGGCTTGTGGAGACCGGGCAAAAGAAGCAATTGAGTTCATGAGGCTGGAGCAGGGTAGAGGGACCTGGGGGCTCGGGACAGAAGTTGTTTGCCCGCTGACATGAAAGTGCTTTATTTTTCTGAAAGCAAGAGTAAAGATCATACTAGCATGGACTGGTGATGCATAACTCAAGTCTTCCAGGGAAAAACAGTCAGAAATTTCTATTCCTCATTTTTCTTCTGCCATTTCCAACAAGTCTCACTGTCTCCTTGTTATCTCATCAATTTCAGTTCTTGTGTTTTTCACAGAAAAATAGGAATTAGAACCAGAATGCTTTAAGGACATTATGATCTTAAACTGCCAATGAGAAGGCTTCTTTTATGGCAAACTTAAGAAGAAAAATTTAGTTCATAGACAAGTGGCAGAGTCCTCATGGGTACAACTGAGTAGAATATTAGTATCAAGCTTATGACCCTTAAATGGGTCATTGTGTATGTAGGGGTGGGGCGTGGCGGGGGATGTTTAAGTCGTACTCCCCTTTCCAGCTTTTCACTCCCTATTTACTACATTGATTGGCTTTCCGATATTCCTGTGAAGAAAACAGAAAGCCCCAAATTGAGAAGTTATCAGTTTGGTTTTAGAGAAGAATAAAACTTGAGAAGAAAAATGTCTAGAGAAGGCACAATTAATCAGAGATAGACTGAGACTAGTTTAGACGTTGATGCACAGGCCGTCTGACCAAGATCATTGAGGGTATGAAAGGCTGAATTCTGTAAATGGAAACAAGAAACAAGAAAGAAACTTGAATGTGATGACTGGGTGGAAGTGGGGGTTGGATGAAACGCACAATTTTTTATTGTTGTTGCTGTGGGAACTAAGGCTACTGGTGGAATTATCTGAAGAGAACTTCAGAATTTCAAAATATAAATTGAATTCTTTATTGGAGCTGAGTATTTTTTTTAAATAGAATTCTTTGCTTAGGGGGTTTTCTTTGTTTTATTACTTGGTCAATGAATTGGCCGAGTCAAGCATTCTAATGAAAGGAACTTTGAAAGCAAAGGAGGGCCCAGCCTGATAGCCTAGTAGCTAAGTTCTTTGCATGCACATGGTCCCATATGAGCACAGGTTCATATCCTGGCTACTCCACTTGTCATCCAGCTCCCTGCCTGTGGCCTGGGAAAGTAGTGCAGCATGGCCCCAATGCCTTGGAACCCTGCATCCGCGTGGGAGACCCGAAAGAGGCTCTTGATCCCTGGTTTCAGATCAGATCAGTTCTGGTCATTGTGACCACTTGGGGAGTAAACCAGTGGATAGAAGATGTTTCTTGCTGCTGCCTCTCTTTCTCTCTGTAAATCTGCATTCCCAGTGAAAATAAATAAATCTTATTTTAAAAACAAAGGAAATCCTAACTGTAAACATCACAGATGTAGCCATTGGAAGTTTTCTCACTCTTAGTACCTAAGGATAGGCACTAAGTGTGTTGAAATCACAGTGTGTGTGTGTTTGTATATGATATATTCCAAGGGATTGGTTTTTTTCAATGTACAGGCCCTGTCACCTAAAATTTAAAGGTTAAGCTGGTAAGTGAAAACTCTTTGATAGGTGTTGCAGCTGAAACTGAGGCTGCTACCCATGAGAAATTCCGTCTTCCTCAAAATAGAATGAAATAAAATAAAACTCAAATTTTCTCTTAAAACCGGTGCCTTAATTAGAGGACAAAATGTCATCATGGCAACATTTGTATCAGTGTGTCTGAGTGAATATTGGGGTGGTACCCCAGCCAAGAGCACACACAGAGCTGATCTTCACTCTAGAGACCTCTTCAGACTCAAAGTTCCACTTACCTGTTGAGTTTCCCTCTTTTGGAGTTACTATTTCCAAGAAAAAAATGACTTAAAGATAAGATATCCTTCTTAAATTTTATTACAAGGGTGATTATGCTAGGTTCTTTGCAAATTTAAGTTACTCACAGCTCTGAGGTTGTGAATTTTTACAAAAATTAATGAAATTTCTGAGTGTGTCAGTGGACCAGAAATGGTATATTCAAATTATCATATTTTCTCTCAGCTTCCTTCAAATGGAAAATGTCGGGTGTGAATAAGAAAAAACTTGATGTAGCAAAACAAAAATAGATAAACAACAACAAAACAAAAAAACCGTCAGTGTAGCAAAAAAAAAAAAAAAAACTAGTGTCACTCTAATTTTATAAAGTTAAACTTGGTTAATTATTTCTCCTTAATATGTGGAACTACCAGAGTCCTAAAAATTAGCAAATAGAGACAGACACAATTGGCCTTATGAATATTACAACACATAAAATGTTCAGGGTGAAACTGATGGAGATCTCCATGACTTTTGCATTTTTCCAAAGTTGTGAGGAAGAAGTGGCATAAATCATCAACCCTGAATAATTTAAAATGTGTTTTAATTACTGTATAATACAACTATTACCATGCTAAAATGTCTTTTTTTTCAAAGAAAACCAGAAAGGAGAGAAAAGAGAACTTGGGCACAAGAAAACAAACCGATAGCACAAAATAAGATGGTATAACTAATACAGACATTGAATTATATATAACTGACTACATTCTCTAATTGAAGTCTGAAAGTAGAAAAAAATGGTGTCATGTTATACATACAAACAGCACATAAAAATGTTAGAATACTAAAAGATTTTAAGTGTGTAATAATGTAAAGAGGAGGAAAGATGTACGAATATTATTTCTCAAACTACACTAAAGTAATAATGAGTTTTTGCTTATTATCATTATTATTTTCCATGATACAGTTGTGTAGGTATAAAGGTTCCCCCTTTACCTCCACTTTCTCCCTGCTCATTCTCCCCCCACCCCACTATTGACCACCACTATTTACAAAAGTCTAGGTCTTCAACAACAGTCACAAGTCCAACATTCTTTTATTTAAGTATATCATAGCATTGTAGGTTTAGACAACAATAGAAAATCTAGTATTATATTGTCAAGATAAATGTAACAGCTTCATTGAGAGTCCTCCTTTTATTCAGGAGCTGAGATGTATGCTCCACTGTATCTTTACACCTTGGCATGCTAATCTTTATACAGTTCATCTATGAGAATATAGGTATATATATATGTCATATATATGTTTACATATATATCTATTTGCTTTGCATTTTGCATGAATGTTGCCTTATATCAGAGAGAACACATGACATTTGTCCTTTTCGGATTGACTTATTTCATTGAGTGTAATGGTCCCCAGTTGGGACCATTTTGTTGCAAACTGTAGAATTTTGTTCTTTTTGATGGCTGAGTAGTATTCCATGGAGTAAATGCACCACAGCTTCTCTATCAATTGCTCTTTTGGTGGGCATTTTGTTACTAGTATTTATCATAAAGACTTTAAGGCAAAATACTTTGTACAGCTGCAGGGTCAGTCAAAAATGATAAAAAGTCTCAGTCTACAGAAAGCATGAAAATTCAAATCTGAGTTCCTAATAACAGTCTCAAAATACATAAAGCAAAAATCAACAGAAAAAGAAATAATAGACAAATACACAATAAAAGAAAATATTAACACAGCCTTTAAAATAATTGATACTTATTATGGAACTACTTAATAAATCAGTTCTTCCAAATCTGAAAACATTGTACCCAAAAACTATAGAATGAAATTGCTTTTAAGTAGTTTTGAAACATCTTAAAAAGTTGATCCCATAACAGTATATAAAGGGAATCCTAGCAAGGGAATGTTATCCGGCCTCAATCCAATTGTTATATGTAACAGTGAAATAAATATAAGAATTATTATATGTAACAGTGAAATAAATTATGATAAACCAAACTCTCCAAATTTCCTGTGCAATGTAAATGATATGATTGAGGTGCATGAGGGGTAGAAAGAGGTAAAAAAAAAAATTTATTACGTTCCTATTTTGCTTCATGTATTTAGGGCCTGTTGAATTGTTACTTAACAGAATACTCCTGTTGTGTTCATGTAATACAAAAAGCTGATTTGCTATTGAAACACATTTTCTTCACATTCTCTCCTTTCCCCCATCATGCATAATAAGAGAGGAGGACTTTTTAAATGAACATTGGTTAATTTCATCGTAGATGAAAGTTGGAAGCAAAGTTGAATAACTTATGGTCAGTTCATCTGCAGTTATGTGCAAACTTAATCACAGGTTGTTCAGGTCCAGCACACTACTGGGAGACCAGAGAACTGAAAAGGGACTCTACTGCTTTAAGTGAAGCTGGCTTCTCAGCGCTCAGGTGGAGCCACTTCCGGGCTGGTGATAAAAAAGCATAGTTAGGAATGTTCCTTAATCATTTCCACAGGGCAGTAAGGGCACGCTCAGCTCAGAATGGTAAGTGGCTATGGTCCTTGTCTGTTGTTGACAGTGTCAATCTGGTATTATAGTAAGTTTTAATTATTATGTTTGGCACTTCCACTCAGCCTCCCACCCTCTGATATTCTCAGTAAGTGCTTCCTATGAGAGAAGAATTTTTGATGAAACATTTTTGGCAGAAATATTCTGCCAATATTTATCTGTATAGTTTGGAAGCTCTGTAGTTTTGCTTCTTTTCAGTAAAGTTCCTTTGATTTGCAGTAATTAGTGGCCACTGCTTGAAGTGTGGAAGCAAGAAACATTCCTTCCTTTACTTTTTTCCTTTGTTTGTACCCGGCATGCTGGTTTTGCTGCAGAGATCAGCGACTTTCTTTTTAGTTATGTTGTCAGAATTCCTGGGAACTTCAGACCCGGGTTACCATTGCCAAGATTATAAATGCGTAGCAGGGTAAAGTGCATAGATATCTTTTCTTCTTTGTCTTCCCTGGAGTTTACTTTTTTTTAGTTCAATCATAAACAATACTTACAAGAATTCTGTTTGAGTCCACCCTTTAAAGTCTTAAATTTATTACTCTTAAATTGCTTTTGTGTGAATCAATTTTCAGTATCGGATTTTTAATTCTTCAATGGAAGCAATCTTTCAAACTTTTTATTTATAATCATTAGACACTCTAATGTTAATTATATTTAAAATATTCTGATTTTTTAAAATATTCCTTTATTTGAATGACAGTCACATACAAAGAAAGGGATATGGTAAGGAAGAGGGAGAGAGAAGTAAGGGCAAGAGAGAGAGAGTATTCCTTCTGTTGATTCAGTCCCCACATAGCTAAAATGCTTGGTGTTATACCTTCCTAAAGTCAGGAGCCAAGAACTTTTTGGGGTCTTCTTGATGTGGTTGCAGGATCCCAAACACTTGGATCATCTTCAGCTGGTTTCCCAGGTACATTAGCAGGGAGCTGAATCAGAAGTGGAGTAGGTGGGATTTGAACTGGTGCCCATATGGGATGCCAGCATTGCTGGCAGTGGTTTTACTTGCTATGGCACAAGGCCAATTCTAATCATTCTACTTCTTAAAAATTATGTGTTTCAACACAAGGGATATATTCTACATCTTGATTGTTTCACTGTCAACATCCTGAATGTGATGTTGTACTTGAAAGATATTTCCATTGCAAAGAAATAGGATCTTTATTATTATTATCATTATTTTATTTGGAGAGGGTGAGGGGAGAGAAAAAAGGGGTTAAGGAGAGAGAGAAGAGAGAAAATGAGAGCGAGGGAGAGAGAAAATGTCTTCTATCCACTGGCTCTCTCCGTGAATAACTATACCCAGGGCTAAACTAGGCTAAGGTTAGAAGAACTCAGTCTGAGCTTCCAACAAGGTTGACAAGGACTCAACCTCTTGAATTTACTAGCTGTTCCCAAGGCACACATTAGCAGGGAGCTGGAGTGCAAGCAGAGCTGGGATTTGAACCAGATATCGTGCTATGAGATGCAAGTGACATTTTTACCACTGTACCAAATACTCACCCTTTGGGAGTTATTTCTTACAACTGCATATGAATCTATAATGATCTCAAAATTGAAAGTTTATTAAGTTATGCCTTTCTAGTAACTCATATATGCTTTTTAGCAACACTTTAATTTGCTGAGATTTACCAGTGTTGACATTCAGTGAACATTTTACAATGTTATGCTGTGTTCTACTGAGACTCACGGTTTGGAAAGAAGAAAAGGTTAAGCAAATAAAGGGAAGGCAATTTCATACTCTGTTTCTAAAAGTCAGGAAAGGGTGTTTGTTGGGTCAAATTGTTCCTACTGAGTTAAAAAGTATTATTATTTCTTTGATATCCGAATCACTTGCTGAACAAACTACATGAAGAACAGCACTTTTAAAATAATTTTTTCTCTGAGTTCTGTGAGCAAGTTTCCTGAATGTATCTCCATGGAGTCTTAGGACTGACTGGTAGACAGCTAAGGGTGGAAATTAGTGTATGAAATCTGCACATAGACTTCACGGATGGAGAGGTTTTAGTAACAGGGAAACAAAGCTCACCTCATTCTAAGTAGTAACTTACATGTAGGAAACAAAGTTTTGATGTGACTAAAGTAGCTAATGTATTTAGAGCATTTTAAATCTGACAGAAGGGATGAAGAAATGAAACTGCTTTTAAGATTAGAGAATTTAAAGGCTATTTATGATGAAATAGTTTAGTATGTACCAAACAGAAGTTGGAATATTCAGCAGTCCTAAATGCGGTGCTTTCTAAATGAAGGACATTACATTTGCGTTGCGTGACTGTACACCATAGAACTACGGTAGTTCTATGAAAGCACAGAGCTTGAGTTCCTCATGAGGCAGAGAGAACTATGCTACACCTCACAAATCACAGAGACAAAGTACAAGGGCTTGAAGCCATTGTGCAGGAACAGAGTCCAAGTCAGTTCGCTGGGGTGTGACCGTTAGGGTTCTCTCCCTCTCCTGACAGGCCAGTGATCTGCATAGATCAAAGGCCAATGATTGACAGAGGAATCTGAGGTCCTTTTGTAGAGGAATCTTAGTCTAAGGGGCAGCATAGTTCTGGACAAATACAGGTTTGCCTTGCAGTTTATAAAGTCAAACTGCTCGAAGGACTCTGAGATGCAATAGTCAAGCTGTGCACCATGTGGACTTTCTACACTGTCTAATAAGAATAAATAAATATTAAAGTGAACTTTTGGCATAGACTACTTTCAGGCAATCAAAATACAACATCATTAAAATTAGCAATTGTTGTGGCTGGCATTAGAATGCAGCAAGCTAATCTTCCACTGGGATTTGAGTTGTGACTACTCCTCATCCAGCTGCATGTTATCCTGGCCTTGGAAAACAGCAGAATGGCCAAAGGCCTTGGGCCCCTACACCCACATGGGAGACCTGGAAGAAGCTCCTGGCTCCCAGATTTAGACTGGCCCAGCTCCAGCCTAGGTAATTTTTGGAGACTAAGCCAGCAAACGAAAGATCTTTCTGTCTCTCTCTCACAGTAGGTACTTAATTTATGTTACTGAAAGAGACTGTTTAAATGAGATTGGAGTCCTTGATTTGATTGTTTCTAGAGCTTACCTGTGTGATTTTTTGTTTGTTTGTTTTCATGAGACACTTTTGATTATAAGGAATTTGTGGTATTAACTTGGTTTCTGTCTGCTATAACAAGAGGTGCTGAGTAATGCTGCTGATGTTGCCTAAGAACTCTTGTTTGGTTCTAACTTACAAAGACTTGTTTCAGAGGGAGTGCCTTTCCATTCATATTGGTCAAGCCGGTGTCCAGATTGGAGATGCTTGTTGGGAACTTTATTGCCTGGAACACGGAATCCAGCCAGATGGCATCCTTCTCAACAGTAAAGAGGATCAGCTGGAAAACACGAACACGGAGCACATGAGTACATCCTTTAATACCTTCTTTTCTGAGACAGAAGCTGGAAATTATGTACCCAGGGCACTCTTCGTGGATTTGGAACCAACTGTAATAGGTAATGTAAGGTTTGTACTCCAGTGTGTACTTAACCTAATGAAAATAAACAAGCCAAGTGCTTGGGATACCCGGAGCATACCGATCTGCCTGGACAAAGTCATGTGGAATTTCCTGAAACATAAAGCCTCATTCAATGGCCATTTTGTATGAGAAAGAAAAACGTAGCTAAAGGGCAGATCAGGTTAGACTTTTCCTATGTGAGGAAATTAGCTTAGACTTTTTCAATTTATCTACACGTTGCTGGATTTGAGTCAATTGCTAAAAAACATCTTACGACCCCATGTTTTATAATGATGAGGTTTTAGAAATGCATATTAAATGGGATATATTTTTGCCATCTTTATTATTATAAAACATCATCTGTTCATCCTAGACTGGAGTTGATTTTTCCTATCAGAATAGAGTAGAATAAGTTACAAGCTTATAGTGAAAAGTAGATTAATGTCAGTGTGAATGAACAGATCAATAATTTTGAGAGGGTAAAATTAAGAATTGTTGAGGTCTATATGTGGATTTATTTGTTACTCTGAAAGAGAATATGAGAGAGTAAGAAATAAGACAGTATTGATGTCTTTAAGAATAGATATAGATGAGGCTCTTACCAAAGGCTAAGATGAAAAACTGTGTTGTGTTCTGACTTGAGTCACACAGGCTTTGAGAGAATATCTATATTTTTGTTTCGTACAAATAGGAGTTTGCAACTCTGAGTCTTAGCAGAGATCTTTGATCTTAGCAGGAGCTGCACAGGCTAGAAAATATGTTCTCAGTGAACTTTGGCAGATTAGCTTGGGATCAAGATAAGAAGTCACATCCCAGTATTAGAGATTTAGGCAGATATTTTAGCTTATGCCAATCCAAAGATATTTGGTAAATGGGAGAATCAAGCACAACTTTCAAAGATGAAGAAATCAGAGGAGGGAAAGGCAGAAGGTGAAGACAGGAAGAAAGTTCCAAGTCCTCTGGGACTCGGCCTGGAAGGATGTTGTCTTGGAGGGTCTTGTGCTGGTTTAGACAAAGAACTCATCTCCTTTTGAAATACCAGTGGCATAAGTGGAGGATTAGCCTGCTGTGCAGTGGTGTTGGCCCATGTACCACGTTTTCTTTATTACTCAGCAACTGATGGGTACTTCATCATTTCCTGGCTATTATGAATAGTACTTCAATAAAAACGAGAGTACAGTTGTCTCTTTCAAGATGGGTTTTATCTTCCTTAGATTTATACTCAGAAGTATGATTGCTGGATTATCAGATAATTCTGTTTCTTTGTTTTATGAGGAACCTCCATACTGTTTTCAAAATGGCTGTTCAAATTCACACTCCCATCAGTGGTGTGTAATGGTTCTCTTTTCTTCATGTTCCTTCCAGCATTTAATTTTTCTCATTAGTTTTTAGAATATTTACTTATTTTCGTTGGAAAGGCAGATTTGCAAAGAGGAGAAACAAAGATCTTCCATCTGCCAGGTCACTCCCCAAATGGCTACAACAGCCAGAGTCAAGCTGATCTGAAATGAAGAGCCAGGAGCCTCCTCTGAGTCTTCCACATTGGTGTAGGGTCCCAAGGATTTGGGCCATTCTTCACTGCCTTCCCAGACCACAAGTGGGGAACTGGATGGGAGGTGGAGCAGCTGCAAATGTAGTTACCTCCTGAGATGTTCCGTGAATCTCTGAATAGTCATCCCTTCCACTGTTTGCTTGAATCACATGAAATTGTTCATTTACAGCAATAGCCATTGTTTATCCTCCAGAGAAACATTTGGGGTTCTAGATAGGGGACACTGGGAGGATTAGCAACTAACAGCTCAATTGAACCACCGGTGCTAAGTTCTTTTTGCTCTCTGCAGATGGCATCCGCACTGGGAAGTATCGTTCACTCTTTCACCCAGACCAGCTGCTTAGTGGAAAGGAGGATGCAGCAAACAACTACGCACGAGGTCACTACTCCGTGGGGTCAGAGATCATCGATCTTGTGCTAGAGAGGATCCGGAAGCTGGCAAGTGTCTCTTCCTCTGCTCTGACCAGACTATCTGAGTGGCTGTGACCCTGTGGCAGGGCTCCCTCACATTCTCTCTTTCTCTCACCTTCACCGTTGTCACCTAACCCTTTTACTTGGGGCATCAGTGTAAATTATCAGAACTAGAGAAGGATCTTAACCTTGGCTTTGGTTATGCACTGTTAGATGGGAAAGGTGCCAAAAGCCTTTGTTCTTTGTCAGTAGCCCCATCTTTCCTTGCTTCTGGTAACCCAAGGCTTACCTTGTTGTAAGAGGCTTCCAAACCACTTCAGAACACTATTTTTCCAATAGTCACCACTATTTGTGAAGTTACTGACAGTTAACTCTTCTATAGGGACCTGAGTTTGGAGATACCTTGTTGAATAAGTGCTTTGGTATTTACTATAATCTTTGGGTAACACCAAATCTTTTCTATCAGCACTGTACACAAGAGCTCAGAAGTGGTGGACATTTCCTCTTTTGTGTCTCTGTATATCTTATATGTTTATTTGTTTACTTGAGAAGCGGACAGAGAGACAAACGAATCTCTCATCTGTTGGATCACTCCCCAGATACCCACAAGGACCAGCCTGGCCTGGACCAGGTCAAACCCAGAAGCCATGAACATAATTAAGGTCTCCCATGTGGGTGGCCTGGACCAAGCTGATACATCACTATGATGCTTATTAGTAGGATGCTTTTTAGTAGGAAGTGGAGGAGCTCCAACTTGAATCAGGCTGTGTGATATAGGATACCAGCATCCTAAGCAACATTTTTAATTGCTAGGCCTTCTTATTTGAACATTTTGCTCATCATTTTTGGTTTTGCTTTTGTTGTTGATAAAAAGTCTTTAAATCCCACAAGGATAAATACACAGATGACAATGAAAGATAGTTTAATCTTCATACTTTTGCTTGTACAGATCAAGTATCCCTTATCTGGTGTTCTTGGAAATAAAGTTGCTTTAGAGTTTAGTCTTCTTTAAATTTTGAAATATTTGCATGTATGAAGTGAGTTATCTTGGTGATAAAACCCACATATAAACATAAAATTTATTTATGTTTCATATACATCTTATAAGCAAAGGGTAAAGTTGGTAGTTTGTGTTATTTTGTACCATGCTGTTAGTATATCTGCATTTGACTACAATCCATGATATTGAATCAGGTATACAATTTTTCACTTGTGGCATCATGTCAGGATCCAGATTATTGTTCCAGATTATTGTTTTTGGATTAATACCCTCAAGCATATTTCAAAGTAGCTATGTTTGTGGCAGAGTTAGTGGTAAGCTGGTTATTTCTGGATTGTTTTTGTTTGTTTGAAGGAATTATATCCTACTGTTATCCTCCTGCTGACTGTCTTTAGATTTGAATGATTTCTCACAGTGGCTTTACTTTCCCCAGACAGAACAATGCAGTGGACTTCAGGGATTTCTGATATTCCGAAGCTTTGGAGGAGGCACGGGCTCAGGATTTACATCTCTGTTAATGGAGCGGCTCTCAGTAGAATACAGCAGGAAGACTAAATTGGAGTTTGCTGTCTATCCATCCCCTCGGATCGCCACAGCTGTAGTAGAGCCATACAATTCCATTCTCACCACCCATTCCACCATAGAACACTCAGACTGTGTCTTCATGGTGGACAATGAGGCCCTCTATGACATCTGCCATCATAGACTTGGTGTCGAACGCCCCTCTTATGCCAATATTAATAGGTTGGTAGGTCAGGTGTTGTCTTCCATTACTGCTTCTCTTCGGTTTGAAGGGCCCTTGAATGTGGACCTGATTGAATTCCAGACCAACCTAGTCCCTTATCCAAGGATACACTTTCCAATGACAACCTTTGCTCCCATAATCTCTGCTGAGAAAGCCTACCATGAGCATCCCTCTGTGTCAGATATTACTGCTGCCTGCTTTGAGTTCTCCAACCAGCTGGTCAAGTGTGATCCTCATCTTGGAAAGTACATGGCCTGCTGCCTACTCTACAGAGGGGATGTGGTCCCCAAGGATGTGAATGCCGCGATTGCCACCCTGAAGTCGAGGAACTCTGTTCAGTTTGTAGATTGGTGTCCAACTGGTTTTAAAGTGGGCATCAACAATCACCCTCCAAAGGTGATGCCAGGAGGAGACCTGGCCAAGATCCAGAGGGCTGTCTGCATGCTGAGCAACACCACAGCCATTGTGGAGGCGTGGGCCCGCCTAGATCACAAGTTTGACCTCATGTATGCCAAGAGGGCATTTTTACATTGGTACATTCAAGAAGGCATGGAACAGAGCGAGTTCTCAGAGGCCAGGGAAGATCTGGCAGCCCTGGAGAAGGATTATGAGGAAATGGGACATGGTTTCTGATGAAAGCATGAATGGTGAAAATGTTAAGTTAAAATATGTGCTTTCCCTTCAAGCCATTATATGCTTAGTGAAAAGCAGTTCTTTGATTAGTAGAATAAGTCAAACCAGGCAAGACTGCTTTTCATACTAATCTATGTGGGTTAGTATTAACAAAGATTACATATTTTTCTGTCTAATTCAGCTCTGATTCTTAGCACCTTTCTAGGGTTCAGAGTTCTTTGAATTAGTGGGTTACTTTTAAAAAATAATAAATTTATTTTATTTTTGATGATATTTACATAGTTAAGAAGGATGTAACCCCATGCGGATCACAGATTAAGATAGGGACAGTTAAGGAATGGAGGGAAGTGGATGAGACAACTGTTTCCAATCACATTTTTTCTTCCTGCATCAGGAGAAAGTGGAAAGAGAAGGGGAGAGGGCTGCTCCCCGCAGCCCAACTGCATCAGAACCTGGGGATGGAGATGGCCACTCAACATCATCCAAGGGTCTCCAATGTGGAGCATGTTCTGAGGACACTGCTCAAGTGGATTGGATAGTTCTGAGATGTTGTTGATTTTGTTGCTCCAAGGTTGAGGAAATCCTTCCAAGATCCACCGGCTGATATAGGCCACCTTAGAATCTCCATTTACCCAGATACTTGCTGTCAAAGCTTGGCCAGGAGACCTATCCAATTTGTTCTGCCCTCTATGGTATTAGATGTCCTCTGTAGGCCTCAATGTACTGGTTGTCATGTCCCCAATGTACATCTGGGCATGCTGTTTGCTGTACAGACTTCAAAACCTGAGGAGGCCCAGTTCTGACATATATACTCCACAGTCAGAGCACAGATCCTGTGATTTTCATTGTGATTGGAGTTCTGAGTCAAGTGGTCCAGTTTGGGGAGTTCCTAAAGAAATCTCATCAGAGGTGACCCCAGTCGTGACACATGTGTGTGCCAGCCAATGTGGAGTCTGGCTCAGTCCCTCATCTACCTCAGAGTATATACACATTGATGGTTGCCGTGGCCTAGTCAGTTCTGTCTCAGTTCTATCTTATATGCAAACAAATGGATGTTGAGGCCAGCCCACCACATTCAGCCCTCATGCATATTAGGGGGGAAACTGCAGCCTAGTCAGAGCAACCCCCAATAATCTGGCCTATTTCTAGTCCTGGTTCCTATGCATGTCATTGTGTGTAGCAGACTGGTCAAGTCTAATCCATCTGGCTTTGTACACATCAATGGGTTTTGGAGCCTGTCTCAGCCTGACCAACCACACTATCCAGCCCACACTCATGCCAGTGAATGCCACTGCCTGTCCAGCCAGGTACACCACCAGCCCTGGTTCCCCTGCTTCTTGGTGGGAGCTGCAGCTCAAGGCCCACTTCCAACCCAAGATCTTGCACTTTCCAGATGATTCTGTAATATATCCTGACAGCACTTTCCTTCAGTTCCAGCACCTGCTAGCGGATGCTGTTGTAAAGCCCAACCAGCTTGCACTTAACTGGCTCATGCATGTACCAGTGGATATGGTTGCTTAGCTCAGCCTGTTTCTCCCCATAACCCAGCTCACATATAGGCCTTGTAGGTTTTGTAGTCCTGTCAAGCCTGGTTTGTCCACAGTCCCAATCTCTCATGGTCACCAATCGGAGCAGAGGCTTAGCAAGGGATTACTCACAGTCTCTTACCTTACTCACCATCCCTACCCCGCGTGTTAAGTGTGCTGGTTGGAGCTATGGCCCAGTCTGGCATGACTTGCTTCACCTTATCATTCATTGGCAGGTGCTGCAGCCTGGCTTGGCCTGGTCTGCCCCTAGTCCCAGCTCTTCCTGGTGGATGCTACAACATACCCCAGCCTGAACTGCCGCTAGCCCCAGCCCCAGTGTGAACTGGCTGATGTTATGAGGGCCCAATCTAGATAGTTTTGCACCGCATCCTGGTTCTCACATCTGCCACTGGCTGCTATGAACTGGCCCAGCCTGGATTGCCCCTAGACCTGACCCACATGTATGCCAGTGAGTACTGTAAACCTAGCCTGGTCTGGGCTGCTCCCAGCCTCAGCTCTTGCATTCACCTGACAGAGCATTTCTCCCAAGTTCCTCTGTTAAGTCATCTCCCAGTCACAAATTTTGCATATACTGGAGGATTCTTGGTCCGGCCTGACTTAGCTCACCTGCTTTCCTGGCAGGAACAGCAGCCTTGACCAACCGGTTCACACTCATTCCAGTTCTTACTGTTGGGAGCTACAGTCCAACCCTGCCTGGCCCATTCCCCACACCCAGCTCTCGTGTGGTTCAGCAGGTGCTAAGACCTAACCCAGCCTGTCCTACATCTGCTCTGGTTCTTGTGAACACCAGTGGGTGCTGGAGCCCAGCCTATTCTGGCACACTACAGACCCAGTCTACACTTATGCTGAGGGATGCTGTAGCCATGTCCAGCCCAATTTTCTGCCCCCATTCCAGCTGTCACACTCACCAGTGAGAATCACAAACCAGCTGAGGCATCCCCTTATCTCCCTGACCAGTGCTGCTCCCAGCCACAAATCTTATGTATGCCAGTGGTTATGCTCTGATGGAGTAACCCGTCTCCTGTCTTGGCCTTTGCCATCAAATGCTGTAGCCTGATCTGGTCTGGCCCATACCCAGTCCTAACTTTTGATGGTGGTTGCTGCAGCCTGGCCCTGCTCAGTCTGCACCCATCTCAGGCTATTATGTAAACCAGTAGGTGTGATAGCTTAGCCTAGCCCAGCATGGCCCACATCTCATCCTGGCTTCTGTGCATGCTAGTGTGTTATGGTTTGCCTTAGCCCTGCCTGGTCTGCCCCTCTCCTGCCCCCCACTAGAGCCAACTCTCACGCCTGCGAACAAGTGAAGCAGCCCTTCCTAGCCTGACTAACACATGAGCAACTCACATTCTCACCAGTGGGAGCTATGGCCCACCAGTGGAGTTCCCCAAGTTCCCCCACCAGGCCTACTCTTAGACCTAGATCTCACATGTGCCAGCTGGTGCTAGGTCCTTACCTGGCATAGTCTGCCCTCCAGTATTGGCCTTTGTGTGTGCTGGTGGATGTTGCAGCATGGCCCACCCCTACACCAATTCTGTAGGTACTACAGTCTGGACCTGCCCAGTCTGTCCCCAACCCTAGCACTTATGAGTGTTAGTGAGTTCCATGGTTATGCCTAGCTCAGCCCATCACCACTCTGAATTCTCCAGCAAAACAGCTGACACGGCAGTCTCATGAAGGTGAGTCAACAAATCCCCCATAGAATCTCCTTCCAGACCTGACTCTCTCACATGCTGGCTAGTGTCATGGCCCAGCATGACATGGTCCATCCCCTGCCCTGACACTCACTGAGAGATACTGTGGTCGAACCTGCCAGGCAGGTCCCCCCAGCCCTAGCTGTGTCCGTATGTGTGTCCATAGATGGTGTTCGATACCAAAAAACCCAGCTCAGCCAGCTAAGGACTCCCCTGTGGATGGTTGTGTTGGGCTGCCCTGAAAGGTACTTCAGTGACAATTATGCTGGCACACACACATACACACACACACAAAGCAATTATGCTGATACACTGGTATAATTAACACAAATTTGGCATTAACCAGGTCCAGGATGCCTGGCAGCTATTAACTGCTTTTATCCCAGGAATGTAACACCTAGGTACAATGCAGTCTGTATCAGTTGCCTACACCTGGGATACCGGGGTACTTTATGCAGTGATTTTTGTTTGTCTTTTATCAGAATGAAAACCTGGATTGTTGCTTCCTCATTTTTTTTTTTTTAGCCAAGAGGTTGTGAACCCCTAAAGTTTATACTTTTTCCTTCTTTCTGTACCTGAGGTGGAAAATAGCATAGATTTATTATAAATGCTATTTCCACACATGCATTATTTTATTCACTGATTAAATGAGCATTTTAGTATATTTCTTTTCATTTCTATAATTATGTGCCTTAAGCTGTCAGTTTGCTCATCATACAAACAAGAAAATCTTTAGGTTTTTCTTGCAATCTATTTCCCTTCCTTTATGTTCTTTTTTCCTTTATATTCTTATGTTCTTTTCCCTACTTATATGTCCATGTTTTCTTGTTGAAAAAATCAACACCCCTCCCCACTCCTGCCATAGGTTTAGCTATCCTCATAATGTATCCCATTCGGTCAAAATTCTCTAAAGAATTTGCCTGTATTGCCCACAACCTATCTCCTCTCCCCCAACTTTGTAATTTAATATCTTCTCCACCATTCTACTGAAGCAACGGTTTTGAAGATTATCAGTGATATCATATTTATCTCAGCATTCGGGTATCTTGCCTTAGGCATTTGGCAATTTCCTGGAAGCCTTTCCATGTACCAGGGGCACTTTAGAGTCTTTGCCCATGTCTGGCGTGTTCCCAGGCTCCTCTTCTACATCTGTCTTCTTCTCTTGATCATAAGATAGATAACTACTCACAGCTACATGATCTCTGTGTAGGTGACTGCTTCTCTCTTTATATCAAAATTTCCAACTGCCTGTTGGGCCTCTCTTCCTAGAAGCTTTGCCTACACTTAGCATCTAACTACTCTTGCTGTAGAATCTCCTTAAAAAACTCAGAGTTCTCTATTTGCTTGCTTATGTCATTGTCCCCGTAAAAGCTAGTTCTTTTTACTGTGTTCTCCCGTGCTGTCCACGTAGAAGGCACGGATGATTTGTACTCTCTCCCTTATTTTAAAAGAGTCTATCTCTTCCACTGGTTCACTGCTCAAATGGCTATAATTGGAGCCGGGCCAGTGAGAGAAGTCAGGACCATGATCTGGACCTCCACTGCTCTGTGACTTGAGCCTACTCGAATTATCTTGCTGCTTCACACAAGCTTTAATGATTTCCCCTCGATTTGACATAAGTCGCAGACTCTAAGACATGCCATTCAGAGTCCCTTTCTAATTAAGCTCCGCTTACATTTTCTGTCTTATCCTTCACTGTGACCTCTTGCATTACGTTCAAATGAGATTGCTCAGCATTTCTCAGTGTACCTTTCCCTCTGAT